AGGACAAAGTATAACGATGGTTTTACTATGCTCGAAAAAACTATGGGTACGTATGCTATATATGATATCATTTATATACATTTTATATATCATATATTAAATTCAGAGCCATTACGGTAAATAACTCACACTCAATGTGGAAATAATATAAAGCAAACTATAAGTGGTAAGTTAACCATACAGGAAGAATACTAAGTTAACTCGTTAGTAGTACATAATTTCGTAGTATTATATTGTTTAATTATATGTTACTAATATACATATATACGTTCATAATGCTCAGGCCTACTAAATGCCTAAATATAACTATGGAGCCCAGTAGCGCCATTACATAGTACTATAAGAAATATCAGATATGATAATAGTAATTGAGTATAATAAATATGTATGAAGAGTCTACTATAGTTTGGAGGTATGGAACGGTAAAATAAGTAGAGCGTCAACTATATAATAGTATAGTTGATAGTACAGCTTTTAATAAACGTATAAGAAATATCATATCATGGAGAGTAGTTGTGATAGATCGCTGTTGGTCGTGTGTGTTGTGTGTGTGTGTGTGTGTTGTATGAGAGTGGTGTTGATGATGAGGTGGGTAGCTGGTACTGGGTGTGATGGGCTGTGGTGAGGTGTGTGCATGTGTATTGAATAAGTTGGTAAAGAATAATAGCATACAATATTTAAAGTGAATATGTTTCTAGGTATAATTTTATATATTTTGTAATATACATATATATATACTAACTGCAGAATAATATATAATAATATTAGATAATATCAATGATATATTATTATATATATATTATATATGTAACAAATATATTAGATTTAGATATCGTACAATACATGTAGCACACCACAGTCAGGGACGTGATATTACACGAATCATCACACACAGCCAACGCATCACACACGCACAATACGCACCAAGCACACAGCAACACACTACACACAGTGCGGTAAGCACTCACACACTCATCACACATCAACACACACACACACACAACGCACACACACAGCACTACACACAGCGACACACGACACACACTCACACAATCTGACCCCGAATTGTCCAAACACACCATCTCGGTCCTTATCGTCACGCCACACAGACATACCATCTCACCACGCAGCACACACACGCAGCACGCACACACATCACAAACACCAACACTCCACACACACAGTCACACACTACACATCCTCTCCATCTCACAGTTCCTTCTGCTTCATCACACACATTACTACAGTACATAGCATACAATACGACATAGCATACAGTACACACATCTCGACACACATCACACATCCACACACACACACATACACAACACACATAACCACATCACAACATACAGCACATACAGCATCCACACAGTACACACACACACATTACTACACATCCATCACACTCCCACATCACAACACCACAACACAGCACAACACACATGCTCCACACACACACACAATCACCTCGTCTATCACACAAAAACACTCGTAGTCTCTCCAACATATCAGCACATACTTTCACTCTTCACTTCACCTCACTTCCACTCATACTCCACTCACGCTCCGCACATCACTCTCATCTTTCACTCACGCTCACACTTCACTCAGCTCGCGCCTACAGTCAACACACACACACGCTGTCACACACAGTTTAAGCGACAACACACACACACACACACATAACACACTACCACAACAGTACACAGTTCATCACGCACACACACACACAATCATATTCCAGTCGAATAATTATCACACAGTAACAACGCACTAACTACACACACACAGCAGTCACAACGCACACAAACACAGTCTCACAGGACACAACAGTACACACACAAGTCACACGAAGGCACACCGACGAGTCCATAGCGCACACACACACCACGACACACAGACTGAGACAACACACGACACAACACGCACACACACACACACAACAGCACGCGGACAACAGCAACACAGCAGCACACAGCACAACACACGACACATAAAACACTATACGGACGAGCAAACACACAAGCATAAGCAGACACAAACACCCACAACGCAACAACACTCGCACACACTGGGCAGAGCAGACGGACCACGCAGCATACAAGCGACAGCGCGAAGGAAGCGACAAGAGCCAACAGCACTACATATAATCTAGTATATATTATATTAGTATTGATATATGATATAATATTATATATATGATATATATACAATATATATATACATATATATAACATGATATATATACATAGTGATATATATATAGTATATATATAATATATTATATATATATATATATATATATATATATATATATATATGTATGTATATACAGTCAAACGCACACAGCAGTCACACGCACAACAGCATACACCACACCCACACACACACAACACACACACACACACACACACACACACACACACACACGCACACACACACAGCACACACACACACACACACACACACACACACACACACACACACAACACACACA